GGACACCAGGCAATACAATGCTCTTGGACAGAAACGCCCAGAGTAAGCCGGTTGAAGCTGCAAGATCTAGAACAGGTGTGTTTGCAAGACATAACTTGGGGAGGTCATGATTTATTTCAGTTACCAGTTGCATATCACAATTCATCATGAAAGGAAGTCAGAACAAGAACTCAAAGCTTGCTCATTCATGGCTTGCTCAGCCTGCTTTCTCACACAAACCAGGACCACCTGCCTAGGGAGCAGCACCACCCACAGTGGGCTGGACCTTCGCATATCAATCATTAATCAAGGAGTTGGTCAGGTTTGCCTATAGGATAATCTTACGGAGGCATTTTTTCAATTAAGAAATGTTCCCAAATGATTGTAGCTAGTGTCACATTGACATGAAACTTACCAGAACACAGGGATTCTGTTTAATGAAATAATCAGTCCAAACTTAAAAACTTAGCAGAAATTCCTTTCTCACACAATGAAAATGAACAAGCATTTATATTTCAATGATTTTTTTTGTGTCCATAACAATATCTTAGAGACAAAAAGCAGCATAAAATATCTTGATATGAATCAAGAAGGGCAATGTGAATTTGTTTAAGAAAGAGATAAAGATACAATCTGAAATCTGAAAGGCTGACAAATAATGAATCAAGTCTAAAATTCTTGGAGAATATACATCAAAGGAAGCTACACCAAAGAGAAAAAAATAATTTCAAGTGAAATGTAATAATCAAAGACTTGCGAGTTTGGGTATATATGACCAATGCATTTCTCTCAATAACCTCCCAGAGGTGTGTGAAGTAATACAAATTTACACAGCGATGAGATAATACCTATTATAATACCTAGCTGTCACACAAAAGCCATGCTCAGCCAAGACAATCAGAAAAGTCATAAGTAGAGTGTGCAAGTGTGCAACTCTACTGCACCTGCTGATTTCCCTTATGGGTATCCCTGTCTGTCTTGATAAACATAAAACACTGGTGTCCAGTGCAACATCCAAGGCTGAATGGAAAGAGGTGGGGAGAATAAGCTAGTTTAAAGTCTGAATCCCAAGATGACATCTCCCTGTTCCCAATGGGCACTTCCAGGTGGGTGCTTCTGCCTTACAACTACATATAACATGCCTCCAATGACTGCATCCTATCATCCTTTAAATATGAGTTTTAAAACACTACAGTTGAGGAATGTACTGTTTAATTAGCTGGCCTTGATTCCTCTGGCAGATCCAAGCAGTTAACAAGTATATCAGCAAATGATCCCACTGAATGCTGGCCCCACATGCTAATCCTAAAATTCACTGCTTAGCTGCCCCTTGTATGTCAATACAATATGGACTGATATACACAATTTTACTATAATTTTATCATCAATTCTTGAATTTCTAAACAAGGACTATTTTTTCTTAGGATAAAAATTTTCAGGAGATTCCTGGTCAGGCACTAAGAATGAATGTAGAATTTAAAAAAAAAAAAAAAAACAACACTATTTAATGGGCTCATGAAAAAAATCTTATTTCCTAACATACAGAATTAGGAAAAGCTCTGTAATATTCCTGGCAATGCATCAGAGGGCATCATTACTAGCTCAATGAGAGCTCTAATGAAGACTGTGGAGAAAATCAGGTGCCATTTGGTTTTCTCTCTAAACATCAGAGTCTCACTTAGGAATCAATTCTCAGTGCCATCTGTAGAAGACAGTCTTAATTTGGCATAACATTATTTTATCTGTTATACACCTGCTTGTTCTCTGAACTATGAAAGAAAGATAGCAACTTTTCAACCATAATAAACCTCATATTTTTATCTGAAATGAAAACCTGGAGTTAGTTTTTATACCAGTAGGATTGCAGATACTTCAGGGAATAAAGCAGCAAGTTCAAAATTACTCTGGTCATTTTTAGGTTTTTTTTTTTAAATGGGAAATATAATTTTGCAAAGAATCATCTAGAAAAGTCATTCTACCACAGAAATGGAAATACATTACATAAAACACAGGAAGACTCAATCTCATCATGATAATAGGATACCATCATCTACATCTATGTCTGTCAGCTAGAGACAGCATCAATTAATCTTTCCTTTTTTCCCCATGAACCTTAATTTCCATTCTTTCAAGCTTATCAATTTTTAAATACATGAAACCTGAATAAAGGGGAACATTTAAACTGTTTCAGTTGTTTAAAAAATTCAATAGCCAATCTACAACTCACTAATAGGTATAAGATCACAAACTGATACAAGTTTTGTGTGTGATCCAATTGTGACCAAACTCTAACATGCTTTAAATTAGATAGTATTTAAAAATGTGGAAAAACAAGTAGTCTCCAAGAAAGCTAAGCAGGTTCCTAAACACCAGTTTTCATGCTGTAGAAATGGGTTGCTATGTCTTTAATCCTCATAAATATTTATAATAAGGCCTGTCTTCAGGCCTTCATGTCGTCCTCTAAGTAACTAATTGCTGAAATCACTCATTTGTCAAAAATGTACATAACACTTAGAAATGAATTATTAGTTAAGAGTTAATATTTATTTCAGAATGCCATATGAATAACAGACACATTCGGTAAGCAATTAAAGTAGCAGCATGGTTTGGGAAATTTAGTTAACACTGACTAATTTCCTTTAGCTTATTCTAGTACTTCCCAGGAATGCTACACAAAAATAATAAAACTTTCACAAATATTTTGCCCAAAATTAGTACCAAATTAACTTAAAAGGTTTCAAATGCTCCTGCAGAGTCAGAGGCCACAGGGTGGTCCAGGTGCCTTCTTTCTCTCTAATCTCCCAGGATACATTATATTTGTGGAACTTGAAATCAAGTTCTGCCCAAATCAAACTTAAAAACTGCCTTTAAGTCACAAGTACATTGACTTTATCAATTATATTATTTGTCTGTATGTTTATAGGGGGTGACATGTGTGACATTGTGTGTCAGGGGACAACCTGTGGGAGTTTGCTCTCTCCTTATACCATGTGGGTCCTAGGGTGACAAGGACTTTTATCCATGGAGCCATCTCCCTACTCTGATGACGGTTTATAATAAACAAGTATGTATGAACTAAAAACAAAGAAAATATGTGAATTCAAGATAAATGTTTAAAATGTTATTTCTGCACATTGTCAAGATGTATATTGAGAAAACTAGTTCTCAAAACAGACAAATCTGTATGCAAAAGAATTTGATCATTTCACTTTTCTTTCTTTTAACCATAATAATTATTGAGCATTATCTTATGACCATTTGATGATATCTGGCATGTTTAGCCAAACACTGAGCATTAGATGAGTGACAAAGACACAGCCTTTTAATACATGCTCTCATTTAAATATTTCATTATCATTGTGTGTGATTTGTATGTGAATGTGGGCACATGTATGTCACAGCGTGACTGAGGAAGACAGACTTTGGAGTGGGTGCCGTCCTTCCAATGCAGGATCCTGTGACTCTAAGTAGGTCATCAACTCTGTGTGTGATGAGTGCTTTGACCCACTGAACCATTGACAGCCCAGGGCATACTCATTTCACCTGATTTTCAAATCTTCTTAAAACATAGAACTGTTCAATGTCTTCTTTTTAGCTCAACTGGTTTCCTTTTAATCAATATCTAACACAGCACATGAACAGTTGTTAATTTAGTAAATATCATTATGTTCTTCATTGTATTCATAGATTTAAGTGACAATAAATACGACCACATGAAAAAATATGTTAACATATCAAACAGAAATACCTATGGGACATCTGTCACTATGTCATTGTCAGACATCTTTGAGAATAGTTTCACCTGCAGTGAAAATGCTAAATGTTACCATGGAGGAGTGACTTTCCTCTTAGCAAACAGTGAGGAAAAGGCAACATATAAATAGGGGAGTGGCTCCCAAGGAGATGGGGCTGTCAGTATCCACGGTCTGCAAGTCAGATGTCAAACACAGGGTATTCAAACTCACTGTGTCTAGTTTCCAATTATTTGTAACGTCAGAGAAAAGATTACTTACTATCTTCAATATGAAAATGGGAATAAACTCATGTGACCAGTTGCTTATGAAGTCATAATACAGCTGACCACAGTAATTTAATGTAGTTCATAGCATAGGGAAGTTAACATTGAACAGAGGGCCAAGGTCCTTCATGAAGTGTCTCACTCTCAGAAATTCTGATGTTTATTTTCTGTGAAATGTGGGTCCTGAAGAGACCACGTCTCTGTGATGCTGTCATTATAATGGGCACAAATACAATTTATCCCCAGTCTTCACTTGATGGTCCGTATGTGATGCCAGGTTGGAAATAGTTTTGCATCAAAATTTTCAAAATGTTATTCCACCACCATTCACCATCTCCCTTTTGCTGGCATGGCACTTTCTTCCTTCCTTTTTTTTTTTTCTGTAGTAATCTGACATTTTATTTTAGTACAATGTTGAAAACATGTCATATAAATTAATAAAACTCTTAAGTACAGCAGGAATCTCATGTATAAATGATTGAATCCTTGCAATGGGGGCAAAATACACAGTTATCAATGTGTGACCATAACAATAAACAAATTCTAGTCAGTTTTTTTCTTATCTTCCTTTAGTTTTTCATGAAAACATCCTTTAAACAAAGATGAAAAACTCAAGAGAAATAGGATATAGTAAATATCTATAGAAAAACAAATTGTATATTTTTTGCTAAAACTTGAGAAAATGCTCTCAGCTTATTATACATTACAAATGCTCTTTTAACTCAGTTATCTGAAATTATCATTTACAGTATTGTATAAAATATATGATGTAAAAGCTACCACAAAGTACAGAAAAAAAATCTAAATATTTCTATAGTAAAACTACTTAATGATAAAACACCATAATTTCTACCAATTAAAATAAAAACTGGTTCTTTTAAATTTGATATCCTTTATACAAAAGATTTTTTAAAACTTGTAAATGATCATAGAGATGTTAATCTTAGGCTCAAAAGTACATATGAAGAATGTGAACCCTTGGCTTTTAAATCCCCTTTCCTACCTTCACATTGTCTGGATGGAGTCCTCCAGGGTGCTTGTCCATGTACTGACATAAATCAGTGTGCTGGAAAAAAGAGTGGAAATGTATTAATATCCCTCTGGCTATAGCATGATGAATCAATATTTTTCTACTTCAAAGTCACTATTACCTTCTGGACAAAACAAATACAGGACATGGGGGTGGATTTTAGTGTATGCAGTTGCAAGCTCCACCATTCCCCATTTTTAACCAGAACAGAACCCCCTCCACCTTTAGGTTTGATGTCAAACACATGTATTAAAGGGAATACACGTCTATAGTTTGCTCAGTATCAACGTCCTCATTGAATATATATTCTGATACATTACAAAACTCCAATCACAAGTTTTCCATGAATGAATTTAAGTTCTTGTTTACTTTATGTGAGTTGGAAACATCTGAAACCATATGATAATGAAATTAATAATTGGAATTTTTCACATGCAAACACACAAATATTTTTTAGTTTAAGAACTGACTATATTTAAATATAAATTATAAATTGATAAAAACATATTCAAAGTAAGAACTTAAAAAAGACAGACAGTTATGAATTAAAACAGTAATATGCAGTTACTTTTCAAGCATGAGAAGTTAATATGCCAATAATAGTATCTTTCCTTGACTGACTTTTGTTTATACGGTGAATGACCCAAAGGTTTCTTAAAGCAGTAGTTTAGTCCAAAGTTTTGTTCTCTTATTGTAAGGAATCGCATAATTTATAAGACAAAATGTATGATCAAGTGTTTCTGTGTCTATTGGGCCTGGGTGACTGAGGGCATGCAAGTTTTACAAAGCATTCAAGGACTTTGCTGTAACCATCATGTCCACAGCTCAAATTCTGTTCCTGGGACTTGATTGTACAACACATGGCAACTGCTGATGACACATGGCTGAGCATAGCCTCATCCTTCATGATGAGCTTTTGCTGCCCATATGATACACTACACACAGGTCACTCTCTGAGGAGATTGGAAGGTCTGACACAGCTACGGATTGGGAGTGCCAGGTATCACAGCAGCATGGAGAGCATCCTGTAACAGCACCTGTAAGGAGCACTAGCTCTGCAAGGGGCAGAATGTCCTCTCAACACCTCAGAAAGTCTGCAGGAGAAATCAGTTCTGAGAAAGCTTAGCCCGTCCAAGGACAAATTAAAATGGACAGAAGAGCTGGTCCATATATGTTCTGACAGCACTGTCCTTTATCTAGAACCACTCAGGGGATAAGAATCAGTCAAACTAAATGGCAGCCTACAGAATAGGAAAAGATCTTTACCAGCCCCACATCTGACAGAGGGCTGATCTCCAAATATATAAAGAACTCAAGAAACTAGACATCAAAATAACAAACAATCCAATTTAAAAAATGGGCTAGAGATCAAAACAGAATTCTCAACAGAAGAATCTCAAGTGGCCACATGCCCCTCAACTGAAGAATGAATAAAGAAAATGTGGTACATTTACTTATATAATGGAGTATTACTCAGTAGTTTAAAAAAAACCCAAAAAACAAAAACCAATGACATAATGAAATTTGTAGGTAAATGAGTAGAACTAGAAAAAAGTCATCCTGAGTGAGGTAACCCAGACCCAGAAAGACAAACATGGTATGTATTCACTCATAAGTGGATATTAGACTCAAAGAAAAGGATAACCTATAATGAGATTGGTGACTACCCTAATTGTCATCATAGAATCTACATCCAGCAACTGATAGAAGCAGATGCAGGAACCCTCAGCCAAGCATTGGGCTGAGCTCCTGGAGTGTGGTTGAAGAGAAGGAGGAGCTATTATAGGAGCAAGAGAAGTCAAGACCATGATGGGGAAAACCACAGAGACAGCTGACCTGAGCTAGTGGGAGCCCACAGACTTTGGATTGATGTTTGGGACCAACCTAAGCCCTCTGAATGTGGGTGACAGTTGTGTGGCTTGATCTGTTTGTGGGGCCTCTGGCAGTGGGAGCAGGATTTACCCGCTTACATGAACTGGCTTTTTGGAGCCCATTCCCTATGGTGGGATACTCTGCTCAGCCTTGATGTGGTGGGGAGGGAGGAATTGGAAGGATGGGAGGGAGAGGGAACTGTGGTTGGTATGTAAAATGAAAAAAAAATTAAATAAATAAAAAAGAATCAGTCAAACTCCATACTGTTGGAACTGTTTAATTTGAAAATTAAGATCTATGAGACCAGACAGCTGACATAAATGTATAGAGTTTTACATATAAGATAAGGTCATTAAAACAAACTTAAAATATAAGTACAGTGGGTCCAGGGGCTTTTCCCGAGTAACTATATGAAAGTTTTATTTCAAGCATTTAAGCAACTGAGGGATTCACTTTGATCTAAAACTGATAGCTTGTATTATTTACTTTCCCATTCTTTCAAATGTAGCTATGTTAACATCAACTTCAGAAAGGAACAAATAAGTATTTAAGAACATTTATTTTTGAAGAACAAATAAAATTGTATATGAAAACTTTTAATGTGTAAGGTAATACATGCATTGTGTGTGTCTGTGCCTCTGTGTCTGGGTATGTTTGATATAAGATAGATACATAGGACAAGAACGATAGCTAAGTGGCTTAATATTTAACACACAACAAGCAAAATGATGCACAGAAGATATGTCCAATCATACTAATAGTGTCTGCTGTGGTTGGGATGTCTTTTCAGTATTCCTTCTCACCAAAAGACTCCTGTGTTAGAAGTTTGCTTCAAAGGACATGGTGCTAAACTGTTGAGATTTCAAAGAGGTGGAGTCTAGTGGGAGGTTATCAGGTCATTGGGGGTGTGTCACTGGAAGGGATAAAACTAGTTCTTGTAGGGCCCCGAGTAATTTTTCAAGAGAGATTTTGGTTGGTTTTTTCATTTTGTTTGAGACACTATGTAGCCTACACTGGATTTGAGTTAGAAATTCTCTAAAGTGCTGGAATGACAAACACCTGCCCTCATGTCTGGGAGACACAAGCTGTCACAGGAGACACTGAATTCCTCATGGCGCTCAGTATTGCTATAGGATCTTTCGTGCCCCCACCCTGGCCTCATCCGTCACGATGTAGTGCAGCCAGAAGAGTCCTAGCCAGAGGCAGCACTGTGCTGTTTGTACTTGCACCCCTGAAAGTATGAGACAATAAACCTGGTTCCTGAGTAACACAACGAAGCAAATCAACCTTGGAGAACTGGACTTCTTTTAAAGTAGAGGACTTGGTCAAGATATAATTAACACTGAGAATAAGACACAAAAGGAGAACTGCATATGATGGCATCCTATGATATTCCTACCACCTCACTTAGAGACTAAGGCAGGAGGATGAACAATGGGAGGCAAGCTTGGACTAGATAGCAATGCCTTCTTTAAAACGGAAAAGAGAAAAATTATGTAAGTCAAAGATGCAGTGATTTTAAAATATACCACAGCAGTAGCACAACAGACCAATTACTACAAACATCATTTATTCAATATATTTGATATCTAGATAAAAATAATTTTTTTCTAAAACCAGCTAATTACTACATTTTATTCTATAAATGAGAACTAAAGAGCTATAACCATGCCCCCACTGCCAAAGGAAAAAAAAAAGTAAATTCAGATGACTTTGATGGAAAGTCCTTCAAATGTTAAAGTAAGATATGCAAATTACCACAGGACACAGGAAAGGATGAGATGCTATCCATCTAGTCTCCAAGGGACAGGGTCAACCCAGACAGAGGCAAGGAAGGGGAAACTAAACTCTACAGTCACAAATATACTTCCACAAATTATCATACTTTGTGAGATGACCAACTCACAAAGTAAGATCAAACATGAAAACTCCTAGGAATGAAGGAAGAGCTAAGCATCTGTTAACATGCACCTCCAAAATCAACAAGGAAAGGGATGGGGTGTTGGATGATAAGAAAGAACTCTTATGACATTACATATACAACACATGATGATTTTGTACTAAAAATATAACAAAGTCTTTGCTCTAACATTGTTTAACTCTTGTGGATAGTATATTACTTCTGAATTGTTTTCATCTTTTCAAAAATAAAGTATTTATGCATGTTGTTGAAAAAAAAAAACAAAGCTGGGAGAAAAAAAAAACATAATAAAAATGAAGCAAAAAGTCCTGATTCTTGAGGGAGGCCAATGACCTGCTTAATGTCTGCCCTGTGACCCAGCATCATGACCTGCAGCAGAGAGGTTTCCCAGAGACATGTCTTAGGAAATGAGATCTTTTCAAGTCAAGCCTTTATATTTACTTCACATTTTAAACAATATATATCTTTGGTATTTTGATCAAGGCTTTAAATGTTTGACTCCATGTTTCTTTACACATGGTTTGTGGTCATGTGTGCAGGGACACCATCCAGATTCAAACAGAGCTGGTGGCAGCTCTGTCACCTTGTGTAGGTCACACCTCTCACTGTTACATCAGCTTCATTTGTGTAATGACTGACAATCAGCACACTCACCTCAGATGTCCATTTGTGAAAATTAATACTACTTCCAGAATGCCAGTGCACATTAGATAATAGAGATGATGATGATGATGTTCTGTCTTGTTTTTAAATTAGGGAGGAATATTTGGAAGAATTGAAATAAAAAATGAGACTAAAAATCTAGTGAGAGGGGAAAAAAGCCTTTCCTAGGTGGCAGCATTTCATGGTTCCACGTGAGGCCTATCTTCATACACATCCTCTTCACATTATACTGCTCTCTATGCTCAACCACTAAGAGGGACCCAGCATATACACCACGGGCCTCAGATTGTTCTGAGTGTTCGGGATCAAGAGTCTGAAGAATCTTGGGTGCAGGAGGGGCAAACAGGAGTGCAAGGCCAGACTTTGCTGTCCAGTATAGTACTGGTGTTCCACAAACAATTCTACCCACACTAAAAGCTGTTTGTTTCCCCTTCCTGTTTTCTAACGATTTCTTCCTATTACTGTAGTTTAAAAAAAAAAAAAGACAGACAGACAGAGACAGCCCCTCCCCCCCTTAAACAGAGCATTCTGCCTTGGTCTGAATCAGATGCAGCAAACTTACAAGTTTCATTCAATCTTT